TCTGTACTTGGCTTTCACATTGGCTTCATGAATGAATGTCTGAAGTGTGTTTTGCCTCCTAATCTACAGTACATGTTTCTGTCTCTGGCAGCCATTTACCTCTCACAGTCCTGATGACAGCCTGAGTGCCGCATGCCACACTGCTATGTGAACTAAAACCCTGTGGACAGATGAGACTTTATTTATACTGACAGATAACACATGAACAGCATAAAGACACACACACTCACAAACATGCAAATACACTGAATGTCACACATTTATACTTATGTATTTATACATAGGATTATTATACAAGGATTTATTGGCAGAAATTTAGCATAATATTCAAAGGTATGTTTTTGTTAATAGAATTGCATGAAAATAAGAATCATTATGTTTTTGTTATCTACAGACGCCGTGGGTCGCCTTCCATGTGGAACTGCCATGTTTCTACAGTAGCCCAATTCAATTAAATGTATTTGTATAGCGCCAAATCATAACAGAAGTTATCTCAGGACACTTTTCAAATAGAGCAGGTTGAGACCGGAGGGTGAAGCGAGGGAGTTGCCTCTGCAGCTACACTACTAGATGCCACTAAATCCTACACACTAGACCTTTAAGATTTAAGTTTGTGTAACTCGGAATAAATGTCTGCCTTCTATACACTTAAATACAGTAAATCTGTGCTTGGTATAATGGCTAAATATGCTTCATCTTATGGAGGACTGGACCTGTTTGCTTTCTTGGTCAGTAACTTTTATAGTGAGGAAGTGACCGTGTGTTTTTTTCTTTCTCTCCACAGGATGACTGACCAGCCCTGCAGGCCTGCATCCTGACTGCCTCCATTTGTGTGTCTGAATGTCCACCATGACTTGGAGGGGACTCGACTGGTGGATCCCCTGCTGATACTTCCGATCCCCAGATATCAGCCCCGACTTCCCCCTTTCCTGACAACTTTGGAGTACACTTCCCTCCCTGTTTAAGCCGTCACCATGGCTAGCCTGGTGCTTAACGAGACTGGAATGGAGGACTGCGGCATTGACGACTCCTTCAAGTACAACTTGTACTCGGTGGTCTACAGTGTGATCTTTGTCTTAGGCCTGATCACCAACTGTGCTGCCCTCTTTGTATTCTGCTTCCGGATGAAGATGCGCAACGAGACCACAATGTTTATGACTAATTTAGCGTTATCTGATTTAGTATTTGTTTTTACGCTGCCATTCAAGGTCTTCTACAACGTTAACCGCCATTGGCCATTTGGAGATGGACTGTGTAAGGTATCAGGAACAGCCTTCATCACCAACATCTATGGCAGCATGCTCTTCCTCACCTGCATCAGTGTAGACCGCTTCCTGGCCATAGTTTACCCTTTCCGTTCCCGCTCCATCCGCACACGGAGGAACGCGGCTCTGGTGTGTGCCGCTGTGTGGCTGACCATCGTTGGAGGAGGAATATCCGTGACCTTCTTCTCCACCATTAACAGCAAACACAGAGCCACTACATGCTTTGAGGGCTTCTCCAAAAGCACCTGGAGGACCTACCTGTCCAAAATCACCATATTCATCGAGGTGAGTGAGGAGAGACACAAATTAACATACACACCATTTGTACACTTTTTATTATGCTAACCAGACATAACAGTGATGTTCTACTGTGTAATGTTATGTTACATTGTTTGTTATTTCCCAGATTGTGGGGTTCCTTCTCCCCCTCCTGGCCAACTTGGTATGTTCCTCGCTTGTTCTGCATACTCTTCGGCGTCCGGTGACCATTGGTCATGGCTGTGACAGCAAGAGACGTGTCCTACGGATGATTTTGGTCCATCTGGGCATCTTCATCATCTGCTTCGTCCCTTATAATTCTATCCTCTTCCTGTACGCCCTGGTGCGGACCCAGGCCCTGGCTAACTGCGCGGTGGAGCGCTTTGCCCGAACTCTTTACCCCATCACTCTGTGTCTGGCCTGCCTCAACTGCTGCCTGGACCCTGTGGTCTACTACTTCACCTCAGAGAGTTTCCAAAAAAGCTTGACCATGGGAGGCAAAGGGTCCGGCTCCCGGCCCGAGAGTATCCCCCGCAGCGACACTGAGACCCAGGACACTAACCCAAACACACTACACAGAGACACCACTCTGGCCAGCAATGGAAAAGACTCAAAGACGTCTGAGAGTCAGTTCTGACTCAGCGGGGAAGAAGGAAGGTAAAGAAGGACAGGGTGGATTTGACAGGAGCCCTGAATTTGAAAAAATAAAGCAATCAGCTGTTTGGTTCTGGAAGTGACAAACACATAACTCAGCAGATTAGTTAAGTCCTGAGGTAAGTCCTGAGGTATGGCCTGGGCTTTACGGATTAATCCACCACTGGAGAGCAGAGGAATGTATCTGTGTGTGTTTATTATGAGAGAACACTACAGGGACCAGAGACCCGGCCACATCAGGACTATTGTCCAGAGACATGCAGAGACAAAGCAAAGAGACCCCATCGCATCATCACTCAGGCTTAACACACAGAAACATTCACAGATGCACTGGATTGTGGATAAAATGGAGATTTCCGTCCACATTGTTGAAATATGCTGTTTAGTACTTTTGTAACACGCTGAGCCCTTAAGTTTTATTATTATAAAGTTAAAGCTTTCACATTCTATCATTTTAGACATTAATGTTATGACACTCTTTAGTGTGGTGAGACCCATTGTTATCATAACACAGCAGTGCGCTGACCTGCTCAGTTAAATGTGTCTTATGTTGAAGTTTGAGGCCATTAAATGTCTGTTTTGAATCGTTTTTGTGGCTTCATTTATTATTTCTGTCCCCCGCCTCGTGCCTGTTGGTTCGGTCAAACATAAAATGAACTGGCCTTTGTCAGCATGACTGTAGGTTTGAACTCATGGGGGAGTTTTTCTACTCTGTCTCCTCCATTTTCATGAAGCAGCCAGTGCGATCTTGTTCTCGGAACGGAGGGCAGCTCTGATCCAGTCAAGGACCTTGGCCTGTGTGCTGTGTCACAGGCCAAATGCTTATTATGACTGGAGCAATGGTCCATTGTTTGCTTCTGAATGAGGTCTCTCTGTCTTAATCTGGCCTTAGACTGTAGATCTGCTCAGGGTCTCTTACACGCAGCAGTGTGCACACACACCAAAGTACGAGTCGAACGCGAATCAGTCATTTGTCAGTGGATCATGGAGTTTGCTGAGTTTACTGTATTCATTTATGGGCCATTTGGTGAACACGTCTATCCCAAAAGACTGATATTGCTACATAAACTTTAATGATTAAGGACCCCAGGACAGACAGCAAATGGCCAAATTGCAGTGAAATCAAACTTTGTTGATTGATAAACTGTCTTGACTGTGTTTTTAGGGAGCATAGAGCTAGAGAATCTCATGGAGGAAGCTTTCATAGCTAATTAGCTGCGTTGCACCATCTACTTTTATGTAATCCCTGTCTGTCTGACCCACAAAAGAGCAAGCAGTTGTTTGCGGAGAGTTTAAGTCAGGAGTTGATCAAAAATTCTTGAACTTTCCAGTTAGCAACCAAGCTAGCTAGATAGCTTTTATTCCCTCTTCAACTATTTATTGAATAAAATGATACATAATCTCACAATCAAAATACCAGGGAGCAAACAGCACAGAACAGAAGAAGTAGAACGAAGCTATTGTGACTGTCCAGCTCTGGCATGTTCCCGGTTTGCTTTTGTGTTAGTCTTTAAACAGTGACCAGCAGCAGGTTTGTCTGTATGTTTTCTGTATACATACGACAGGTTCCTGCTGGAATGAGGAACCAATTTGGAACATTGGGTCTGGGACATTACACAAGATATATTAGTACAAGTTGTTTATGCATTCTTTCATAGAGCCACGCAGAGTTAGAGATTCATGGCCGTACTTGCGAATGTCATAGGCCCCTATACCTGCAGCAATGGTATGTGTAGGGTGTGAGAGATCCAAGTAGGCCGAGGGGTAGCAGAGAGGAGGACTACGTAGTGGAAAAATATGCAAGAATCATGTCAAGAATGTGCCAAAATATTGCAACAGAAGACACTCAACCCTTCAAATGTCTCCTTTAAAGGAACAATCTGCCCTTCTGATTGTAGAAGAAAAAACCTGAACTGTAGATCACTAGACTGTCTGCGAATATTGGCCTGTTCTGACCTCTAGTGGCCATAAGTTGGAACAGACATTTTAGTGAAAACACCATAATGGTCCAGTAATCATTAGCTATCATGTCTTGCTTCGTGTTCAACATGTTTGCTGAACTTCAGTCTGTTCCGGTTCTACATCTCTGTCTGTTGAGATGAATCACACTGCAACAGCACCGGAAGCTTTGCAAGGGCCACACGTGCCTGCCTCAGTATGAGAAAGTTATCTTCTTAGAGTCACACTTAATGTGTGCAACTCGTGGTGTGAAACCAACAGGGTGGATACATCGCTGCCAATTTTTTTATCTGTGGTTTTTGCATTTGAGAGACATGGGAAAGCATTTTTTTCTAGGTGCCACATAACTGAAACTATAACCAGGTTACAAATAGCTACTGTACTTCTCTAAAGCACATGTGAAAGGTGTACACCCATTTACAATTAATGATTTGATGAACAACAGTATTAAAAAAGGAAGTGTACGATCTGATAGGGGAAGCGCATGTCCACTTGCATTTTTGTCAACTCCAAATATTGCAGGATACAAATTGAGACATTACAGTACACTATAGCAGTGTAGATAGTAGTACGGTAGAAACTGCATGAAAAAGAGTCCACTGACCATATCACCTGCTTTGGACATCTTCAAAATTTCAGAGGTAAGAGGAAGCTAACATCTGCTCCCTCTCTGTCTTCTTTTAGATTAATGTTTTTACCTGTAAGTGCAGTAATTTTTTTTTCTTAGCTACTCACACTCATCCTCCAATATTGTGTGCATATTAAGTTGTGGGTATGGTTGCTACTGACGTAGCAAATGGTAGATAAACACGCACATGCAAGAGGGCAGAGCTTCCCCTTCCTCTTAGCATCATACCAGAACAACCCACACCAGACGCCATCGCCTCATGCAAGTACACATTCAAACAGAAACCACATCACTATTAATGCTGACTTGTTCACATGCAAACAAGGACAGGTTTTTCTCTCTGCTGCTGAAGTGCGCCAGGAAGGTTAGCTGTTGACCCCGTTTGCTCAAGGAGAGTGTGTCTGTGCGTCAGCCTGCAGTTTACAGTAGAGTGTGAAGCTGTTGGAGCATGTGGTCACTGGTGGTCACTCCTGACTCTGACCTCTCCCCTCCACGCTGATCATATAAGGTAATGACACAGTTTTGTTTTTGTTAAGAGAAATAATGTCTATGAGGAACTCAGACTGCTGTACTTTGTCTGAGCATTTGCGGTCAAAGTCATGCTTCATTTTGCTGATGTTAGGGGGATTTTGTTATTAAATTTTATTTCACTTCATGTCACATCTAAAATCAGTATCAGTGTGTACATATGTGTTTCATGTTTAAAGCATGTGAAAAGTGTAAAAAGTAAAACAAGAAAAAGAAGACACTTTTTGATTTTTTGTTTGTTGTCATGCAGGCTAAATTATATCACTGCAGCGCTATGTGATCTAACTGTTATGAAATGTCATCAGTGGTTTTATTTCAAACTGAAACATAAGACAGAGTTTGAGAAATTGTTCAAATGCGTTTTTAAAAACATTTCAATCAATAATGCTGAGAAAATTCAAGTCATCATAGTATGCTGCAAAAGCTGTGTATTATTTCCTTAAACTCAAGTATTAGGACATACTGTTGCACAACTTTTAACTGTAGAGGCAACGTGAGCGGGTTTGTTGGCCGACTGTGGCAGATTGATAGCCCTCAACAGCCAACATAAGCACAAGTGACAACCGCTCGAAATTACAGTAAAGCAGCAAAAAAATTGTCACTGGTTCTCTCTTTCCCCTCTGGGGTCAGCAGAGGAAGGGTGTGGTCTTGTCTTGATGGTAAAAGGAAAGGCAACGCTTTAGTGATAAGCAGAGTTAATGCTCTGTCTGTCTTTCACACATTTCCTGCTGCAATCTTTGGCCAGACAGAGTCATCTCTGATTTATTAAATTGTCTATCAGTTTTTTCGTAAGCCTGTTTCATTTGGCATCCAGCTAAACACATTGCAAAACTGCCTTTATACATTAAGAAAGCTGAGCTATGATTTTACAAGGTGATACACACAAGAACGGGGTTTCAATTTTCTGCTGCATTTATGAACATATATGATATAATATGTAATTTTTCTATCTTTTACCTTATATATTTCTATCTTCTAATGAGGCAGTAAGTTGTAATTAATGGCTTTATTAATATTCTAAATCACTCAGCTACAATTTTATTGTTGTGAGGGGGTGAAAAATATCATTGGCCGCTGTTTATCCTCCACCAGCATGACTACTTGCTTCTTCTTTTTAGCTTACATTAGCTCTTTAGTTCATTTAGAAGACCTGCAATTAATTGTTGGACCACTTCAGGAAAAAGACTGAATCCAGCCCAAAATATATTTATCAACCACATAATAATATTCACAACTGCAGATTTGATGCATTGTTGTAAATCCATTTTTTAAAGGCTAAGGGAAACATACATAAATAACTGTCAACTATTTTATACTAAATTGCAAGAAAGTCGGATTGCTGCAATTTTTATATGTATTTTGTATATAACTGAAGCTCTATCTATAACTGTAGACGTGATAGCTGATTACAAATTAAGGAACTATAAAACAACCCATAAAGTCTGCCGTTGTGAATGTTAAAAATGGATTGTGGTCTAGATGTAGTGTTACAGAGTTGTGAAAGGTGGTCCAACGGTCTGACAGAGTGGTCTTTCAGAGGAACTAAAGCATTAAAAAGTGTCATGCAATAGGAGGATACACATCAGCCAAAGTTGAGAAACAAAGATATTTCCGTGGAAACAGCAATTGGCAAAATTATTGCAACAGCCTGCATCTGAACTTTTAAGCCATTATGGACAAGTAGTCCTTAAAATGATCAGAAAAATGTTAATCTGCTGAGGAAGGTTGTGTTATATAATTAAAACAGAAAAGCTACTAATGGACCTCGGAGTGAGATTGTTTTGCCAACCATGTGCCCAAGAGAGTGTATTATTAGCAGTGCTATAATGCTATAATGCAGTCATTTGTTAATGTTACAACGCCATTAGTTACAACCTATGAGGTCTTTATACAAGTCCCTTATTACTGTAAAAACAGTAAATAATGAATTGAACAGATTAGTTATTTCAGAAATGTATCACATATTGCTTGAGTGTCATAACATTCAACTCATTTTTCTCTTTCAGGTGTAATGGGTGTCTGAGTAAATTCAAATGACTCTGAATACGTCTGATTTGTGGAAGGGGTCCTCAGCCAACTCCTCCATACAATGTGGCTACAATATGAGCAGCTGGGAACAGCGCATGGAGCAGATGTACACCTACTTCTACCTGCTGCTCTTCATACCCGGGCTGCTGCTCAACACCACTGCTCTGTGGGTTCTCTGCAGACATATAAGGTAAACGTACAAACACACATATGTGAAACCTCCAACCTGTTCTGCACATGGCTAACTCTTTCTGTATATTGATCCACAGTAAGAAGACCAAGGCGGTGATCTTCATGATAAACCTGGCATTAGCAGACCTGGCCCACATCCTCTCGCTGCCCCTCAGGATTTATTATTACTTCACACACACTTGGCCTTTTGGACAAGGCATCTGCTTGTTCTGCTTCTACCTCAAATATCTCAACATGTACGCCGCTATAGTGTTCCTGGTAAGCAAGGCAGTGAACTAGAATACTGTGAGGATACTACAAGGAACTTAAATGACAGCTTAGAAAGTTCTCATCGATTTAAAAGCAGTCAAATTAAATGGTATGACTGGAAGACTATATGAGCAGATTATCAGAGGAATTAGTGAAGACAGTCTAATGGAATCCCAGTGAGTAATGACCTTGCCTTATTGTCATGAACCGGCTCAAAGTTTATACAAAATAAGGGAGACCGCACAGATAATTGAGGTGTTAAATCAAAATAAACATGTTTAACCAATATTTACTCTACACAAAGAATGAAACATATCACATCAGTGTTGTCAGTAGTGTAGTGAGTGTGTGGACATGGGTAATGTGATAAACAAATCTTAGTAAACCCAAAACACCAACAAACCCAGAAACTGCTGGCTGGAAGGAGAGAGAGATAACTAACTGGTTCAACCCCCTATATAGCCGGGCAATCAGGGAGCAAGTAAACTCATGTGTAGCTCATCTTCCAGCCACATTCTCTGCAACTCTGTCTCCTGCACAGAAAAAGGGGAAACACACAGAACAACCACAATCTGAATAGGAGGGGTCATCACACAAAACATATTGACATAAAACAGCATAAAATGAAATACATGTCAGAGGGATGTGTAGTGTAACCCTCAAAGCAACATGTGTTAAAAATGTGAGGAAGACAACAAGATTAAGGAGTAAGAAGTAAATAAAAATATAAAAGCAGTCAAATTCCAATGCTTAACTTTGGGAATTTCAGGAAGTCATTTGAATTTGCGGCATTCTCAGCAGTTATTGGAACAAAGGTACTTCCTGTGGCTCTGAATCCGGTGAATAAATTTCCCCCGTTTTTTCTGTTTCCAGGTGTGCATCAGCATACAGAGGTGTGTCTTCCTGCTCGACCCGTTTGCCGCCCGCAGGTGGAGGCGGCGCTATGACCTGTTGATCAGCATCATAGTGTGGGTGGTGGTTGGTCTGGCCTGCTCACCTTTCATTCTGATGCGGAGCAGCAGCACCACCGATCCCAGCATCTTTACACAGACACAGACACAGACAGTCTATAACTATTCACTGAATGCCACTTCTACCCAACATCCCCAAAGTTACACCAAGGTCAATCAATTTTTGAGTACAACCCCCAGCGGTTCCAAGACAGTCTCCAATGGAAGCTGTTTTAAGGACTTGCCCATGCGTCGTCTGTCAGTCTCACTGGCGGTGACCATGATGGCTCTCGCTGAGCTGTTTGGTTTCCTGATTCCTTTGGCCTGCATCAGCTACAGCTCCATCCGCATCGCCCGGTCCCTCAACCAAAAACAAAACCAGGATCAGCAAAACTCAACATCACTAAACTCCTCAGCACGCAGCCGACTCCAGTCAGTCACCTCCAACGGTCAGCCAGATAAATATCATGAAAATCAGACAAACAGTGATAAACGGCGTGCTCTGCGGATGGTGCTGAGCTGCTCTGCCCTCTTCTTGTTCTGCTTTGCCCCCTACCACCTCAACTTCCTGCTCTACCTGATGGTGTCGCAGAACATTGTGTCCAACTGTGCAACGAGCTTGGCAGTGCGTCAGTTCCACCCGGTGTCTCTGTGCATGGCGAGCCTGAGCTGCTGCCTCAACCCTCTGCTTTACTACTTTCTGACAGCTGAGTTCAGACTGCACCTCACCAGGCGCACCTCCTCCTTCACCTCCTCGCTCCTCTCCTCCCCGATTAGCTCCCCGACCCAGCGTCTTTCTCAACCGAGACTGATGAGCATGGAGAGTAGCTGCTCAGACAGGGAGTAGCATTAATCAGATTTGTTTTGTCCTCAGAGAACGACAGCTTAATGACAAACGGATGTGTCTCCATGATACCATAAGTTGAACTGACAAGATTAGACAAGTTGGACAATGAGATGGTTTCACGTCATTGACTTCACGCTTCGACTTCAGTGTAAAGAACCTCCCAGAGGACATCAGTTAAAACAAATAAATCTTGACAATATCCATGTGAATAGCATCCTATTTTCCTGATGTGCATAAGCTACAGCTTGTTGTTTAACCTCATTAAAAATGCAACAATTTAAAATAAGCTACACATAAATAAAGCTATATGTAAATGCATGTAAATGTATGGTAAATAAAAGCAAGCCTGAGCTTCCTGTCTCATCTGGTGGTGTGGTGTTTGTTCTCTGGTGTATTTTGTATTTAGGTATGTTCATAATAAGGTTTCCTCTGGCTGACAAAGAAATGAAAACAGGTGCCACCTCATTTCGGCTGTACTTCCTCTCACAATGCAACGCGGTTGGTGACAGTTGGCAGCAGTTGCAGCAGCTCTGAAACCAGTAACTGCCAGGCCCTGACAGTCGGCCCCCATCGCCCACCTTCTCTTGCATCTACTAAAAAATTCTGAGCCAACTTTGAGGCTACTCCCACCCCCAGGAAAATGTATGCAGCCCACCTTAGAAAAAAAACTGCCTGATTCACCCACCAAAAAGCACCCACCTCTTATCTTTTTGCTGTCATGCTGCATCAACATTTCTCTTCTTTTTAGTAACTAAAAGTATCGGGTTGTGAAATTTGTGAGAGATAGAAGCCAAAAGCAGTTTAAAAAAAGGCCAAATAAACTTTTCGGTTTTTAGTATCGATTCTCTGTCCAGATATATTACAATGCCTTTATCTGTCACCAAAAAGACATACATGGTGGATATATATCGTCTACAAGGGAAAAAAGTACCCATAATAGCAGAAGTTATGATGTCAAAATTCTTGTTAAACCACACCCCCATACTCATAGGAAGCCGTATGTGCTAAAACCCCCAGCAGAAGAGACACACAGAATGAAAGGCAGGCGTAAAGAGAGAACACGGTGAGTAACCAAAACAGGAAATACAATTTTTATAAGACAAGAATGTGACTGTATATCTTGGATAGAAATCAAGAGATGAAAATAGTAAAAAAGTAAGAAGAGAGGGCAGGACAGAGAAAGTGAATAGTATTAGAGGGGGAGGAGGGCGGGAATGGCATGTGTGTTGGCTGAAGCTTCATCCTTCTTGCTTTTGATGCGACGCAGCTTTAAGTTTGAAGACAGAGGTGATAAATATGATTGTCAATCTTACAGATTCTTTTGTTAAATAGTTTTTGTGCGAGAGTCTGTAACAGCTGGATGCTTTCAGTGTTGAGTCAGGCCTTAGGGGGACCCAGCAAGTTTCTCCAATGTGAGGAATGTCTGTTATGTTGAGGGTGTGATTGTGTGTCTGTAGGCCAGAGTGTCTGTGTTGTTCCTTTATCTGTCCATTGAAGCGTAGAGTGTGTATATCAGGGATGGGGCTCGTGACATGTTTTGTGTGTTTGAACAGCACACGTGGAGGGACTCTGGATGCTCCTTGCCAACATTTTGGGTGCTGATACATGAGGCCAGATGTCGTGTCTGAGTGGAAAAACTGTTAGCTGCGAGCAAACCCACAGAGAGATGAATCACAGTGGATGAAATAATGTGTTTCCATTGGCAAGATTGGAGGACTAAAACTGCTGAATCCTAAGGTAGGGGTGCAGCTCTTATTTGAAACAGAGAGATATTATTTAAGTCTAACTCTTCAAATACTCCTATCGCAAATATAAACTAGATCCAAAGACAACAATGAAGATTCTGTCACAACATGATGACATGTAGCTACTGGATGTCACATGGGTTGTTGTTAATATGTCATCATTGAACACAAGAGCCACAGGGAGGAAATGAAAAAACAGTAATTGGTCATCACTAAGAAGTTGTTTCATTTCATGTAGACAACCTCTAAGAGAAGCATACTGTACGTGCAAGAGTGAGAGTAATGACAGTCAAATCACACTAAAACAGTCACACATAGGTCAAAGGTCAGTGAAGCTAAAAGGAAGACTGGAGACTGAGGGTCTGCTGGGAGATCCTTCTGAGGGCTGTGAAGTTGGATAAAAGAGAGCAGAGGCCAGAGTTCTGTGGAGGAGTTTATATCTCTTAAAGCATATCCCTTCTTTATTTACCCCAAATTCCTCTTGCTCATCCTCCCTGGGAAGCAGTGGTTGAAAGTAGTACTGTACTGTACTTAATTTCAAATTTGATAGGTAATTGTACATGAGAATTTCCATTTTATGCTACTTTATACATCCCACAACATTTCAGATGGAAACATTGCAGCTTTTACTCCATTTGTTTTACAGCTATAGTCATTGTTGTCTGATGTGGGAGTTATTTTATATTTCTCAAATTGTGGAGATGTGCTTTTGGATTTCAGGATTATCCTGATTAGTTTAATGTCTTATGTGCTGTGCTTCTTTGTTTTTTTCTTTTGTCTTCTAACATCTTGTGTTTTGACTTTGGTCTCAAAAGTCCAAAACATTAATATAAATTTGATATAAATAATAATATATAATATATTTATAATATAAATAAACTTTCCTCTCCCATTAATCATCACACGCCCCTCCATATTCATCTCATGATTCTACACATGGGTCCGACCCCTGGCTTGGAAACCCCTGGACTTAAACAACCACAAGGAGTTTTTAACTGGTTATGAAGCCTTCTAAATTTAATACTTATGCCTCTATATGACCTACGTAAACAAACAAGATCATCGGCAAGAAGACCGGATATTAATTTATAGTTAATAGATTCCCCTTAAAATCAGTCAAATGAGGTGGTAGAAACACTACCACTTTTGTCCACAAGGGTTATCCACCAAAAATAAAAGCTCCTTGTTACTGCTTTGACTACTCAACAGTATATGAGGCACTTAGGTCACCAGCTACAACAGCAAAAGGCTACTTCCATATTGATGAATCAGTACAATCTAATAATGTAACAGCAGTGGTTTTCAAACTGGGGTCTGGGGACCAACAGGGTCCTTAAATTTTCTGCAGGGGGTCCCCAGCAAATGTAGGAATAAAATATTTTAACTTTTCTCAGACAGGATTCCTTAAGACAAAATCCTTTCAAATTGAGGGTCTGTGGTCTAATGTGCATCTATTGTGAAGGTCCTTACATGAAGACGTCTGAGAACCCCTGTGCTACAGTTTAATACCATTCTGCAAAATGACTACTTTTACTTTGATATTCTGAGTACATTTAGCTGAAAATACTTCATACTGTACTTTTATTTAAGGAGCATTTTGAATGCAGGGTACTTACTTGTAATACTGTTGTATTGGTTCTTCTACTTAAGTAAAGAATCTGTGTACTAATTTCACCACTGCTGGGAAGCTTATAAAGAGAAAAAAAGTAAGGAAGGACAGTTTGTAGTGCTGTCTTGGGCTGCAACAATGATTAAACTAAGTATTTACCATTTAAACAAGTGTCCAATATCACTCACAGCAGTGCAGGGTTTGGTCTGAAAACAACTGGAAACTGGAATTATTTCAAACTGAAGACAAAAAATAGTCAGAGACACAAAGGGTGACATTAGCCGAGCTAGTTACAATTCGAATACTTCCTCAAAAGGTTGAAGCAGATGTTAAACAGCTATGCACCATCAGTATTATTTATGTCACATTCCTTGCTGCATGTCAAGCCTCCCTAAGTAATTGTGTTCTGAATAGTTACAGTAATTTTCATGTTATTACCAGACATTTAAAGGCATTTACTGGAGAAGATATGAGAAAAAGCAGTAAGCCTGATTACCCAGTTTGAACAATGTGATGAGATGTGTCATGTGTCATCCGTTACAATACCAGTAAAGTTCCATATTTAGCTAAGACCAGTTTAGTCTGAATAAAATCAAATGAGGCGAAACTATCAAAACAGGAAGACTCTTACAAGCTCACTTTGTTCTTGTTGTACAAGGTTTGTATGGGTTGAAACAGCGAGGAAACACGTGAACCTGCGTACACCAACTGATGTTTATAGCAGTAGGTGGATCACGCCTCCAGGCTTGAAGTTCAGTTCCAGATATTACTGTGCATTTCCATATGTTAAGTTAAAAATCCGTATCTGAAGCTCATCAGGGTTTAAAAGTTTTTTTTAAAATATATTTTTAAATAACTTATTTTGTGCTGCTGGAAAGGTCAAAAAAGCATATGTAGCATAACTTCTTTTGAAACAGTGAATTCTCCACAGACAGAGTTGTTCCTCATATCTGAGTGTGCAATGAGAGGCAGGTCTGTCTTGGTCTGACCTGTTAACCACACGTCTGGTCTGAATTCTACATGAACCACGCTAGTTTCACTGATGCCTCGCTTATTGTATTCTACCCCACAGGTGGGGATGCTCAACAGTGAACACGATACGTGGGTGCTTGCACCATCGACTTCTCTGTGGGTGCTTGCACCATCGACTTCTCTGTGGGTTTGCATATGCCTATTTACTGTAAATGGCACTGCAAAAGTTGCAATCACACAAATATTGTACTATGTTTGCAATGTTTAAACGCATGGTATAAGAAGCTGAAACCATGGCCGGCAGGTGTGTACGTGTTTGCATAATGTATGTGTGTGTGACTAAGTGCTACAATGTGATATGTGTGTGAAAGGCTCTTTCTCAGAACCTGATAACTATCTTTGTGACATGCAAATCATAAATTACCGTGACACAAATTTCATCCTGTTCTCTACAGATACCTGCTTTCACTGGTTCCAGCATGCACTGGGCAACAGACTTGGGATTGAGATTAAATGCGATCTGACATATCAACAGGAAGCCAACGCTGGACACACACTTCGAATTCACTAAAAGAAGCATGAACATGTGGTCACTATAACGGAGAGCATGGATTATCAAAGATGTTTGTCAGCAGACTACAAGCAGCTTTTCTGATACAAGCTTTCTGTTGGTTCACAAGGCAGCTTGTCTTACCAGTTAACAGCAAACAGCCATTGGCCTAAGATGAACCACAGCTGTGAAAGCATTGACGATCTCCGCACGTACCAGCACAGTGTGTATGCAGTGGTGTACAGTGTGATCTTAGCACCAGGCCTCCTGGGTAACGTGCTGGCGCTCTGGGTGTTCAGGGTCTATGTCAGAGAAACCAAGAAGGCTGTGGTGTTCATGATGAACCTGGCTGTGGCCGACCTGCTGCAGGTAAAAAATCCCTCCATGTATTTTATACTGTATATTTGATGGTTTTATTAGGTTTTCATGTGTGTAATTATGTCTATGTATCTTTCTATCTGTCAAATCATCTGTTCGTGTGTAATCTCATCTGTTCTCATTTGACTAGATATAATCTTTTATCATTGAAAACTATTCCTATTTATTATTTTTATTACAGATGAATCAATTATTATTTTTAATTAATAGTTAACACTTTACTTTAATCCCCTAATAAGCAAGTTGTATATAATGTAATGTAGTTGTAGGCAGATATAAGTGTTTATTAATGTATTTGTCAACCATTATAACTTCCCCTATAAAGCATTGATAACTGGTGTATTTATAGTTAATGAACAATTGATAATTGATTGATTGATGACTCAGAATAACTGAAATGCCAGTTAATGACATATGAACACACACAAACACACAGTAATAAAACATCTATCAACTGTACAAATCAAGAAATGTTGAGATTTAAAGTTAATTCTTGACCTCAGTTTGAATATTATTAACTCAAAGTCCTCATATTAAATTTGTGGCAGAGCTTTCAGACACATCTCATGGCCTTCATTAGCAGACAGAAAGAGCCCATGCGGGGTAAAAGAGGGGTATTTTTTAATAAATAATACTAAATTGATAAATGAAATCAATCAATCGATGAGTATAAATAATATAATAAATAAAGGGTTATATTTATTATTCATATTACAGTTGTGTGTTATTTGTTTATACACCAGTTTGGATGTTTTATAGGTGCTGAGAGAGCATAAACACATAAAAATGTCCTTATACACACATACAACTATAATAAAGTTTGTTATAGTATGTCAGAAAAACTGTTTAAAACTGTTCATGATGCAACAATGCACGGCAAAGCTCTGTCGAAGACGATACAACGGTTCAGTTACTGTAATCAAACAGGCCTCTGCCACATGATTTAAAAAGATACTTGAAATAATGTGAAGTGAAATTGAAATTGTAGTTGATTCATTTTTTGTTGACCAACTAATTGATGAGCTGGGTAAAAATGTTCAGAAGAAGCGATCGGGCTGCTGAATTGCTCATTCTGTCATCAAAACAGGAGCATATTTTCTGAAGACAAGTGGGTTTACTTCTTCTTTTGCTATTGTTTATTGAAAATGTGGACAACATAATGACATCCCCCAGGACGGCATGACACAACAAAGCCCTGCCCTCTAAGCCGATATGACACTTAAGCGGTTTGGTAATCGAGGCCTCTGCCACATGATTTTGAAAGAGATGGTCTTGAAACAATTCAGTTTAAATTTGAGTTGATTATTTACTTGTAGCTAGCTGAGTGACGTCTGAAAAAAGCGACTGGGCTGCTTATTTTCTCAATCCTTCATATTTTTTAAAGATAACTGGGGTTTTTGCTTCTTTTTTGTTTTTTTGCAACCATCTTAACACTCTTTGGTGCTTCTCCTCCTCCTCCTCAGGTGCTCTCCCTGCCTCTGAGGATCTACTACTACTTGAACCACACTTGGCCCTTCGGTCATCATCTCTGCATGATCTGCTTCTATCTTAAGTATGTCAACATGTACGCCTCCATATACTTCCTGGTGTGTGTCAGCGTTCGTCGCTGTGAGCTTATCATGCGTCCGTTGAGGTGCAACTCATCCAGTCGAAAACGAGACATGTTTATCTGTGCCCTCGGCTGGCTCTTAGTCTTCCTGGGCTGTTTGCCCTTTCCTCTGCTAAGGAACTCCAGCAGTGAGCTAAACGCTAATTCAAGTGACAAACCCAGTGCCACTGAGCCGGTATGTTTCTCAGAGCTGCCCATGAGGAACGTCAGTATTCCCGCAGCCTGGGCCCTCCTGATCATAGCAGAGCTGTTGGGATTCATCATCCCACTCATCCTGGTGTTAGCCTGCGCCTGTCTAACTGCCGGGAGCCTTCGGGAGACGTCAGGGGGGGCAATTCCTGACAGAGGGGAGAAGCGGAGGGCATTACGGATGGTGCTAAGCTGCGCTGTGGTCTTCCTACTGTGCTTTGCTCCTTACCATATCACTATGCCCCTGGACTTCCTGGTTAAAGCCAATGCCCTGGCCAGCTGCACCTTCAGGGACCTGATTCGGAGATGTCACCCCGTCACGCTCTGCCTGGCCAGCCTGAACTGCAGCCTGGACCCTCTCATGTACTATTTCACAACTGATGAATTCTGGAGGCGACTGAGCAAACCAGAGATACCAGAGAGCATAGGTTTCGGCAGGCGGCTGTCCTGTATAGCCGGAGGAGAGGGCTTAGAGGATGACTAGACTACAGTCAGTCTCTTTAAGCTCTCTTACTGAAGAAGAAACAGTTTAAACTCAACCACTAAAACCTAAGATAAAGAAAAAAAACTAGGTAGATTTATTTTACATGTAAATAGTATGTGAGAGTTTCAAAATGTGAAATGTGAATATTTTTCCTATTTATATATTTCAATAAAAGGCGTGTCTTCTAAATTAGTATGGCCCTGGGGAAGATTGAGCTGTTCCTGTTATGAAGGATGACCTTACATTAGTGCCAACAGCACTAATAAGCATCAGGAAATACAGAACCCCTAAACCAGCTATATGTTTCCTCTAGATGCAGTTCTGTGATAAGCGAACAGCTTGCACGGGATGATGAAAAGGGGTTATTGTTGGCGTTTACAAAGCTTTCATTGGTGCTATAATAAAAAGCAAACAGCCGAGACATTCAGTAACTAAAGAAATGCAATTTTTATTCAGCAACAGTGAAGTTCATTTCAGTAGCTGCACACAACATAGTTTTTTATCTAATATTAGAGTATTGTTAAAAAGCTGAGACAGAAACACATTTTTACAAGTACTTTTCCTGTCTGATTGTCTTTCTGTGCAGGCATCGAGTGGGAAACCTTTGAAAGTGACTTGAAATTATTTGGCAAAAGGCCTTTTTTTCACTACTTTCAAGCTTTTCCTTAAGGGCTTTCAAAATCAAGGACAAGTGTGCAGATTTATGCAGATTCACTGACAGACTTTTACAAACAAATTGTTCCTATGACAATTTTAAATATATAGTGTCTCAGTAGAGGTAGTCTCCTGTCATGGGACTACAAATTCATAAATACAAAGTGGAATTTGGTGAAATTTCCCTTTAGCTTATTTACTACTTTAGCTCATCAAACATCCTTAAAGTTTATTGTCACAAATGAGGTTTCTACACAAACACAAACACTGGTCATATAGGGTGCTGGACTGTTCACCATCAGGTATGACACCATCAAATACATAAAGTAATCACACAGCGGGACAGCAGAGGGCTCTGAGAGCAGCAGGGCACTCTGGGAAATATCTACAAAAAAAAAAATGGCTACAGAGAACTCTGGACTTGAGCATCTCTGGCGCCATCGATAACTGACACTGACGACCATGTTACATGTGTAACTGTACTGTACCAAACATTTGCAGGGTGACTTGTGCTATATCACACTCTAACATGTAGTAGATCTTGTCAAGGCTGCTCTAGTGAGAACAGTAGGCTGATGCACAGACACGTCTGATATGAATGGGTTCTCAGTATCGTTAGGAAATTCAGTAGAAGGACTAACAACGCTCGTCTGGAGGTGAGAGGATGTAATACAGTAACAACGATAAGATAAGCCCGCAGGAAACTACAGCAACAAAACAAACAATAGAACAAAGGAAACTTAGTAGATTCTTAGCAAGCAGGCGGACGCTGGTTATCAGTACAAGACTAACTACTGAATATTTGAGCTATGACTTATACAGGTTTCGGGGGAATACAGCAGTAGAGGGAGGGGGGAGGTTAGGCTATATAACGCTGTAACTTAAATTCACTTATCACTTGGGTTAAAGCAGGGAAGGCAAAAAGTTTTATACAAAAAGAAACTTTCTACTAAAAGTTGTTCCCTCCTTCGCCTACTCCCTCCCACTCTTTCTCTCTCTCTCTCTCTGGCTCCCTTTATCACTCTCTCTCTCACTCGCTTTCTGACCTACACTCATGCTTTCCCATCAAGCCTTGCAGATCCTAGTCTCCGTCACAAACTTGTTCTCAAAGTGCTGGATGGTGAAACATTCGTCTGCAGAGCGCTTCTCGATGCCTCCACCTGACAGATACAAAAGACACACAAACATTAGTCAGAAATATTGGAGTGACTGCACATCTGATACGCTTCCCTTTCAAGACAGACTGAAACTAAAATTAATCTTTGCAGAGAAATCAGTATATATATTGTTAGTGTTTACTTTGACTTGTGTACTTGTTTTATTATACAAAACTGTAATTTATAACAAATATTGTGACAGCCCCCCTCACATTAGTGTGAATCTTTGGTTCTTACAGACATTGGGTCGTATTCAAATTATCTACAGTGCACGGTCTGGTCACTTGCAAATACTAATAATATAATGGTATATAACAAATGCTATGTGGGCTTGTTGGAAAAAGGTAGCAAGACATCTTGTATCAACGTTCACAGGCAACACAGCGCTAATGCCACATGCACACACTGTCAGCAGAATGAGAAAACTTGGGAGTGTGTTGTTACATTGTAAGAGCGATATCTTAACATGAGAAACAAGATACAGTCTGTGTATGTGTTAATAATAGGTTTTATTTAGATGTAACAGAGGACTGTCGCCTCTTGGATGTGAGCTGACGCCTGCCCCCTCACAGAGGCTTGAAGCTTAGATAACCGTGTCCAAAGATGGTTTTATCCTCTAACATTTATAGCCATTTATCTGCCATTTGAAAAGTAAGTCAACTAGTACATTGAAGCTTAACAAACATTACAAAAGATCAGTTTTAGCTGTAGAGTACATCCAGACCTGGCAGGCTGGAGCGGCGCTGCATTCTGTATGTTTCCTTTCCATCGCACAGCCGACGGATGTAAAAGCCCAGAGGCTTGATATCATCGATGCGCTCTGTCACCACCAGGTCCTCGTGCACCAAGTAGCTGCGGTAAGAGCCAGACTGGGACAAAAAGAAGGGATCATGAATGAATCACAATTTATGCTTTAACCACTTTTAGTCTTTCAAAAAACAAAAAACAGTTCAGTGAACACAACTGCAGCTAAGTGTGAAAACAGAGAAGGAAGTACTTTGTCCAATTAATGAATCATCCCCAAATTTCTGCATTTTGTGAAGTGTTTTCACAGCAAATAATAAAATTTGCTGATTGCACCACCACCCACCGAATGCCAAATGCTGTACAACCTGTCATGGTGGAGGACTCAGTGAAGCCAACTGAACTCTCAGTGCCTACAGTCGTGAGTCTTGAGACTGACTGTTCCCGAACCGGGTCTTGCTGACCACGTTCCACACATATTTAAACACTTAAAAGAAACACTAATTTTATACAGGAAGCTGATTGTGTGCATGAAAAAAGTCGCAACTAGCACAACAGTTTTATTATAAAAAATACATATTGTTTAGAAAGGTACAGATATTTTACCAGTTAACAACAACAACATCAGTAGTATTTTCAATTAATTGACCTTTTGCTCAGCAGCCATTTTGATGTGAAACAGTAGGGTACCAATGATACAAAATAGTAAATCTGTTTCATTGAGGTCAGACAGAGTAAGGGGGCTGGAACACCTGCATTAACACTGCTATTTCATGTCAAAGTGGCTGCTGTGAAAAAGGCCTATTAGTTTTCTGACACCAAGAAATAACTGACTGATCCCTTAAATTCTCATCTAGTACCTTCATAAAGTCAAACTTTCTAAACTAATTCCAGTCACCTTCAACTGTGCTTTGTGTTTAGCGCCGACTAGCAAAAACACACTAAACTATGGTACACATTATACCTTAACACCTGCTGACAGTTAGCATTTAGCTGAAGGCTTGGCTGTGCTTAAGTAGCCTCATAGAGCTCCTAGCATCACTGTAGACTCTTAAGTCTTGTTAATTTTATGATTTAGGGAAGAAAACTTGGCAAAGTAAGGCCAATTTTTACTTTATTAAAATGACAGTTTGTTTTGCTGCCCCCAGAATTCTGTGATCTGTAGTATTAACCAGGTCAGGTGAGCAACTGTTAAACATGAATCATATTTCCTGTCAATCAGAACTGCATTGTGAAATTACATTTCCTGAATTACAAATTTTAATCCTCTGTGAACTCCACCAAGGAGTTCACAGAGGAGCAAGAGCATTTGCTAGTTGGCCTGACTATTATAAGTAACAGCCAACATTTTTCTCTGTGGTAGCAAACCCCCAGATCACCATTAGCAGGCTATTTTTTTCCACTGGTTGGCTACTCCATATCTTTGTAGAAAACCCTGTATTACACATCAGAAAAAAATCTAAGTACTCAGTCTGATTCATACAGAGTTACTAATATCCCAGACTGTCTGGAATAGGGGAAGGTGATGTGTGCTGGGAATTTTTACTTTACAAATGTCCGATTTGCACAGGATTAAAGCACAGACAATCTCTGGAATTATTATAAATCCCTGGATTTCCCCAGGTAATAGTTAGTCCTTTATATTACAGCTTATGCATTAGCTTGAGTGAAAGCGCTGCGTCGGTATAGTTTCCTCTATTATCCAAGCTAGGTCTCTTATACTGGCAGCCGCATCCTGAGATCCCGAGGATACAAAGTGACCACTACTCACCATCAGCTGTGAGAAGAGGTCGATCAGATCCTGAGGGGGGAGCACAACTGAGGTGTTCAGAGGAATCACAAAGCAGGTCCTCAGAGTCAGGTCCAGATATGCCGTCAGCTTCTACTCACACACACACACAAAGTAATCAGGTAAGAACCTAAACATTAATAGGAGCGCATCAACGGCTATAGCACTGTATGTGGATATTCAGTGTGTGGGGTGTTACCCTATTGAAGTCATGGAGGATGTAAGCAGGGTCTCCAGGTCTGAAGCGGGGAGGTGGGACGCTGATGACGGCTATGCTGTCAGAGATCTCTACCTCCTCCTCCACCCGTGGCAGGTAGTATGGTTGGCTCTCTCCTCCAGCTCCGGCTGACACATCACCAAACTGCATCGCACCGTGATACAGCCTCTGACGGACACAAGACAGAGCAAGAGCGAAATAGATCACTTTAAAGCTCACAAACACAAACATGGTTGTATGCCTCCGCCAAGTTGCAGTTTGCATCTGTGTCTGTCCAGACTTTAAAGAAATCAAATAAAAGGGGAAATGGAAGTTGCCTCTATATTGACATGTATGAGTTCAGTGAATAATTTCCAGTGAGGAACATTCCGTCTTCACTTGGAGACTATTTATTTTTTTACAAAGGAGTACAGAGGACTAATAGAGAGCTCACATGGTGCAATGACAATCACCTGAAGCTCAATATCAGCAAAACCAATGGAGGCCTGTCCAAATATGGATGTTCTTGCACAAACAAAGCTACAATTCTACAAACGTGGATGCCACACCACACACACACACAACACCACACACACACCACACACACACACACACACAACTATACAACCACAGATTGAAGGTGGGCACCCAAAATTAGTGTCACCAATTCAGTATCCGACCGAATGTGAAGTACGGTCACAATCTCCCCTTCTGTTCCTAAAATGTGTTAAATATAGGCCAGAAAAGTACATTGCAAAACAGTATGATGTCACAGTGAAGTTGAACCTCCTGTTGTTCTTGACATATCACGTTCAAGAGAAAGGGGCGGACTAATTGATGGACCACTATGAAAACATTAAACTGGTACCAATTCTAATGAATACAGTCTCGCATTTTTATGCAAAATTGTCCAGGTCTGAAAAAAGAAGTCTAAACGAAGCTGAAGCGAGACAGCACATCTAGTGGAAGTATTCGACCGGTATTGGGAAATATCTGCGGTGATCACAAGAAATCAAAGTTCCTCCACTCAAGTAATTTTGTAAAAGACCTATTATCTTCGTTTCCCCATCAACAAGTAGATAGGCTTGTACTAGACTACACTGTAGGAGATTTGCAGCCTTTGAGCAAGGTCGAAAGGCATTGTTCACCAGATTAGTTACTGGTCTGCAGCCATCCAGGCGTGTGCCTTCAAGAATGAAGAAACAGACTGTTGAACGAGGCATTCAAGGACAATAAAAAGGAAGAAATGAAAGTGAACTAGTTTTTTATTTTTCTGGAACTGAACTTAACAAGATAAAAGTCAACGTTCAAATCACACATATTAAATTCTTAAGTGTGAACTTTCACAACGCCTCAACATTTGGTTATTTAACCTAGGGGGAAAAAACAACATGTTGATGCATTAAATGTCATTACGTGGTCTTATTTTTTAACAAGTGATGAGGTGGATCTCTCCAACCGCAAGTCTCTCAACTGGTGTTAGACCTTTGCAGTCAGTGGTTTCTCTACAGTGTCTTAAGTTCGATAAACTGCACCAGCCATACCTAATAGATCTGTGAGTAGGATGAACCCCCAAAACAAAGCTGAATTTCATTTGAACTAAGAAGTGTTTATGCATGGTATTAATAGTTTAATAAGACATGTTAGTCTTTGCTTCATTTGCATAAGAGAAGAATCCCGGTGGGCACAGAGATACTGTTTTAAATGTGAGACCCCCCTACTGACAACACAGCAAAATTCATAAAACGGAGCAGTCTGCACTTTCTCCGAGCACGGATGTGAGCGAGAGTCAGCATTCTCGTTTCCCACAAAGGCAAAAGTGGCCCATTAGCTAGTCAAAAAATTCTTACCAAAACTCAAGTGACACCTCGTGTCTCCACCCTGCACGTCTCTGGTCAAAGTGATAGCATCTAAGATTGTTTCAGTCGAGCTATGAAAAACACTTACTACCTACTTATCCTGTATAAATTAATATTCTCAGGGACCTACAAACTGCGACTGCACTACTTGCACCTATTTATATTCATGCTTTTGTTGTCCTGTGTACTGCACTGCACATAGACTTGTTTTATATCTGGCTTTGTTTGCACCTCACAGTAGTCTGAAGGCTGCATGATTTTTAGAACCAGGGACTTTCCTCTACGTACTGCATACTTATCTTGACTCGTGGAAGCATCCTGTTTTCTCATAACAACAATGATGCTATAATTTTTGGGGCATTTTGCCTTTATTAGACAGTGACGTAGGGATGCAACTATTACCAGTTTAAAAATCCTTAGTATTTATTTATTAGTATTTACATTATATTTTGTCCAGCATCAACCAGTGGACGCAGGTGGACAAGTGCAGTGTGCGTTCTGGGCTTAAAAAAAAAAAACATGGCAGAAGCACGTAGGAGATTTTTTAAGCCTTCTAACAGGAAGTCTGAATGTGGTTGTTTGCAGAACATGAATTTGCATAAATAGCTAATTTAAGGTATTTTATAGCTCAGTGTATGGTAGGGGGAAATGTCATGGTTTGTCTTGCTTATAGCAGTAGTAGTAGTAATAATAATAATAATAATAATAATAATAATACACCTTTAATGTTACCTACTCTCTAAAGTGCTAATTTTATTTGTAGTTTTCAGTATAAAACTTGAAGGGAAATTATTTTAGCGTGTGTGTGTGTGAGTAGCTCTTCAGCACATTTTAACAAACTAATATATTTATATTAAGAATAACAGTGATATTTTTGGTTACCATAATAATAGTGAAAATGTGCACACGGTTTCATGTCAAGTGTGGTTACAGACAGGAACCACAGTATGAGTGAGGGTATGTCATGTAACAAAAGGCAACCCCTTATGACATGTCTCGAAACCAGAATGCCACCCAATGATTCTGAGCAGCCTCAATGACATCACTGTAAAAACCTGGGCACATGATCCCATCATTGGCTATCTTGGTGCATTCAGATGCTAATTGAAATGCAGATTAAACATTTCTAAGCATTTTATAATGTTAATATAGCTCATTTAAGCTCCGTGATTGTTTGACAAACTAGAGATATCAGGTAGACAGCCCAAAGGAGTGTAATAACAATGGGAATACTAATTACTACTATTAAAGACAGTATCCATGAACACACACATATTTACCTTCGGGGTGAAGTATCGATAGAGACATGCTCCCCCCACGATGAGCCCACTAAGGATGAAGGCGATGCCCAGCAGGGTGAGCAGACAGCGACCTGTGGAGCCCTCGTTGCCCGCTGGAGCAGAGGCCAGCTCAGGATCCTAAAGACACACACACACACACGCACACGCACACAATGCTGTCAGCATTTATACAATGAATCATAATATTTGCACTGAATATCAACATTCAACGAATACAGCTTTGACTCAGCAATAATCCCACTGAATGTCTGGCCTCTGCAGAACAGCTGTTGTTGGGCGGTGGGCGGTCCCAGTGAGTGCTGCAGCAGGTGCAATATGGCCCCTCCATGCATTTTACAAAAAAACACAACAAACCTCTTAATATCAAATTTGCCAAAAAAAAAAAGAAGCTAGAAAATACATTGCGAGCAATATAAAACACACACACACACACACACACATATATATTAAGCCCACGGTCACAGCTGACCGATTTGCGGCCGGTGCAGGCCTGCAACCAGACTAAAAACAGACACCGGGGCTCAAGGCACTGAATCCCCCCAGATAGCTCACCCTCACATCGGCTGGCACCTCTTTGCCCAGCGCCTTCTGCGCCAGAGCCGAGTTGAAAGCAATCTTCACCATGCTGGAGAGGAAACTTCAGCTCGGGTTTCTTGTGCAAACAGAAGAGGGGAAGACTGTCGGTGCTGGACTGGGCAGAATCCGTTTACTCTCAGCAGCTCTGCGTTGTGACGCACTTTGCAGCCTCGGCTTTATGTAGCGCTTCCGGTGGCTGGAGGGGGATTAAGATGACATCCGCAACGGGAAGTCCGTCAACCTCAAGATAAATCACATATAAAACAGCTTTTAAACCCCTGAGATCATTCAGACTTCATTGTTTGATTGTTTACCGATGAAACCATTTATTGCCTCATTTATTGCCCTCTTTTATCCTGTCTTGAGAGGTATTGTATGTTGCTTTGGCGCCATCTAGTGGCCTCAGGTGGAACATACCTACATCTTACTTTAATGAAAATGCTCCCTATCAAGAAAAATCAGTTTCCATTCATTAGACTGAACCTAATGCCACAAGACTTGAACTATTTACACTTTCAATTAAACTTGCTTTCCTTTTCGTGCTATATTCTGTACAGTACATGACACAAAAATGACTCAATTCTGTAATGAAAGTCATATTTTTAGTGTATGAAGTAGCCTATTCATCTCTGTGAATATTCCACTCTGTAAACTGACTCTGTAAATATATTCCCTCCTACAGGCTGGGTACTACCTGCCAGTGTGTCTGCCCACTCACACTGACACACACAGTACGCCGCCTTCACTGCACTGTGTGGAAACACAGGCCAGTGCCAAGGCTATACTGTACGTCTGACACATATCCTCAATCCTCTGGTCTGTGGTGGTCCTCTGCTTCCTCTGCTTTCACTCTCCTGACTCAGTTAAGGTTGAACGTATGAGTAAATAAACACTTACTGCTGCACCAGTGCTCTAATTCCACGTAACTCTGTGGCATCTCTCCAGCCCTCTGCACTGCAACTGTACCATATGCATCTCCCAGTCTCACAAACACACACATAATCACACACGCACTCTGCGAGGCTATGATATTTCCTCTGTTAAACAGAAAGATTGGACCGGTAATCACCACTGAAAGGTACATAAACAGAGCAGCTGATTTCTGTACCTAACTACCCCTTTGCGCACTCCCCCAAACTGACTCTCCCTGAAAATCCTAAGTGGTCCTGAAGGCTTGTTTATGGGCTCGTCTTACGCTGTGTTTGATCTGAGAGCTTGCCCACACATGCATGTGTGGACACACACACACACACACACAGACAGGCACACAGCAAGAGAGACGGAGAGCCAGCATTAGCAGTAATAGCTGAGATGATAAACAAAAGACTTAGATTTAATCCTGAGGGCTTCTCAGCATCACACACAACAGAGGAAGAGAAGAGCTGAGGAGGGAGCGAGGAGGCCACCGCACTCTCCTTCCAGAGGGAAACAAGGGATGATTTGGGGGGGGGAGTGTAGGGGCAGGTGGGGGTGAAATGAGAGTGATTCTGGGGGAGAGTAAAGTGATGACTGGGAAAAACAGAGAGAGGGAGTTACTGGGAGAGGCAGAGCAATCTACAGTGTCTGATGCTTGAGTGAGTTTTCCGAGGAGTTGATTAACGGCAGATTAAACTCGCCGTCCATCCAGTTTATGTCTCAAACTCCCAAACACGGCTGCAAGGTAGAATTTCTGTGCCTCTCAGACTGAAAAGAGCAAAACATACACAAATGGACACCCATGTTGTCACAGAGGCAGCGGGTCGTCATAATGGTGGATGGCAGGCGTGTATGATGGAGTTTGAATGCCAGTGTTTCCCTGTGGTCTGCAGCAAACGTCCAATAAAAGCAATAAAAATACACACGCTACACGCACGCACATGTATACACAAACACACACTCCTCGCCTGCAGTGTCAGCAAACTGTGAAAGTCTGCAGGGGCATGGCTGGCTTCGTAAAGTGTGAGAAAAAGAAGCTCTCATGTATGACATCACCCGCATGCAAGCCAACAAATATGAACACACACACAGACGCACACCTCATAGATTTGTCATCAATTTCAATACCAGACATGTGAAGCCGCAAGTGACAAATGACTTTGTCCCTTTTGTTGCTCCCAAGCCATACATACAGCACAGACACACACAGACACA